TTGTAGCCTGTAGTGAGGTTTGTCTTAGGGGGTACAGAAGTTAGGGTTTGTTATATGTACCCCAACCAACATCAATGGCATCATCATTCCTCATTTTGACATGGTATCAGCTAGGTTAGGAGGATCCTGTGGGATCCCGTTCCTCCGTTCTCCGTTCGTCCCTCCCGAGCCTGATCCTACCTCTCGTTCGTACCGGTTCCGTTGTTACCGCGCCTAGTACCGAGCCTAGCGCCCTCTCCCCCGTCGCTTAGCGCCCTTTCGCCTCGTCGCCTAGCGCCCTTTCCCCCCCCCCCCCCCCCCCGTCGCGTCGCGCCCTTTCCCCCCGTCGCCTAGCGCTCTTTCCCCCCGTCGCGTCGCGCCCGTTCCCCCCGTCACGTCGTGCCCGCCCTTTCCCCCTCGTCCCGTCGCCCTGTCCCGTCGCGTCGCCCTGCCCCGTCCCGTCGCCCTGCCCCGTCGCGACCAGCACCAGCTCCCGGACGACAAGAGTCCTCTGCACCCACCGGGTCAGCTCCAACTCCAGAACCAGAAACTCCAGCTCCAACTCCAGCTCCAACCCCAGCACCCCCAGAACCAGAAACTCCAGTGCCAACTCCAGCTCCAACTCCATCTCCAACTCCAGCTCCAACTCCACCACCCCCAGAAACCAGAAACCGGTACAGGAACAGGCGCAGCACCAACCTCTCGAGAGCTAGCACCTGCGGCACGCTGCGAGGAGGTCTGTGGGGAGGGAGGCTGTACCGGAGAGGCTACCGAAGGAGGAGGGGTAGCCTGGGACACACCCGACGGGGCTGGACCAGGGGGGGGAGGCTGTACCGGGGAACAGGAGGGGGAGCGGCAGTCAGGAAGAGGGGGGGAGGAGGAACCTGGAGACCTCGACTGGGGTACCTGACGTCGTGTCTTCCTTGGTTTCCCTGAGGACTCCTCTGACTTCACCTTTTACCACCCTCCCTCTCACCGGTTCTTTGACTCCCGTGACGTCCGTTTCGAGGAGTCCACTCCGTACTACGTCAGGTACCCCCAGTCGAGGTCTCCAGGTTCCTCCTCCCCCCCTCTTCCTGACTGCCGCTCCCCCTCCTGTTCCCCCGGTACAGCCTCCTCCCCCTGGTCCAGCCCCGTCGGGTGTGTCCCAGGCTACCCCTCCTCCTTCGGTAGCCTCTCCGGTACAGCCTCCCTCCCCACAGTCCTCCTCGCAGCGTGCCGCAGGTGCTAGCTCTCGAGAGGTTGGTGCTGCGCCTGTTCCTGTACCGGTTTTCTGGTTCTGGGGGGTGGTGGAGTTGGAGCTGGAGTTGGAGCTGGAGTTGGAGCTGGAGTTGGCACTGGAGTTTCTGGTTCTAGGGGTGCTGGGGTTGGAGCTGGAGTTGGAGCTGGAGTTTCTGGTTCTGGAGTTGGAGCTGACCCGGTGGGTGCAGAGGACTCTTGTCGTCCGGGAGCTGGTGCTGGTCGCTGCGGACACTGGGGGTGAGAGTGCGCCTCCTTCGGGTTCTGGTGAGGCCTGGGTCTGGAGCTGGTGTTAGTGCTGCCTCTGGGGGTGGTGCGCCTGGTTCTTCGGGGGTGGACTCTGGAGCTACCGCTGCTTCGGACGCCTTATACTCCGCCCCCCCACCCCTACCCGACTAGGCACCAGGCTCGTGTTCGCCGTGCCCGTGACGAGCAGCTGGCGTTGGAGAGAGAGGAGAGGGAGTTACAGCGGCCTGGAGGAGCAGCAGCAGCAGCTGGAGCCGCAGGAGCAGCAGCAGCTGGACCCGCAGGAGCAGCAGTCCCAGCAGCAGCCGCTTCCGCGAGCAGCAGCAGTCGCAGCAGCAGCAGCAGCAGCCACTTCCTCCTCCTGTCTCGGGTCTTCGGACCCTTGGTCTCCCCTCCCATTCTCCTCCCTCCTCCGCCTCTCCTCCTGTCTACGGTCCCACGTTTTCCTCCTCCTGACTCCTCCCCCGCTGTTTTCCCCAGTTCTCCGCCTTTGTCCTCTCCTCCTCCGTCTCATTCTTGGGCTACTCGTCGCTCCCCTCGTGCTCGTCCCTCGTCTCCTGTTCCCTTCACTGACCTTCGTACTGCCTTCCTTCTTTCTAGTCCGACCTCGTCCGTCTCAGTCTGTGCTTCCGTCTCCTCCTGAGTCGGCCCATCACTGTGTCGCTCCTACTCCTGTCACTGACTACTACCGCACGTACCGTCCTGTTCTCTCTCGTGTTCTCGCCTCTCTTGTTACTCACCCTCGTGCCTCTGTGTCCTCTGTGTCCGCTCTTACTGCCGCAGTTACTGACTTTGCCCTCTACCCGCCGCCTTGAACTACGCCCACCACGCTTGTGGCTGCTCCTCCTACCAGTCCTCTGGCCGTCGGGGGTGTGTCTGCCCTTAGCTGTGACGCCCTAGAGGACAGGCAGTTTGAGCTAGAGTTCCTGGCGGCCGCTTCCCCCTCATCTCTGTGCCATGCTCCTCGCCCCTGAGGGTGACCCCCGACGCCCTTGACATTCCGACTCCTCGCACTTACGCTGAGGCAGTGTCAGGGCCTTGGGCCTCTCAGTGGAGAGCTGCCATGGACGCAGAGATGGCCTCCTACAGATCCACAGGCACCTACGTCGATGAGGTTCCCCCCCCTGGGCGAACGTAGTCGACGCATGTGGATCTACAGGGTGAAGCGGCCACCGGGATCTCCCCCGGTCTTCAAGGCGCGCTACGTGGCTAGAGGTTTCAGTCAGCGCGAGGGAGTTGACTTCTTTCAGACCTTCGCACCTACCCCGAAGATGACCACTCTTCGGGTGTTACTACACGTAGCAGCACAGAGAGACTTACGAGTTACACTCTCCTCGACTTCTCCACTGCTTTCCTTCAGGCAGCCTACACGAGGAGGTCTGGTTGCGTCGTCCCGCGGCCTTCACTTGGCACCTTCCCTCCTGGGACCCAGTGGAGGCTGAGGCGACCTGTTTACGGTCTTCGCCAGCCCCTCGTGAGTGGCACGACACTCTGCGTTCTACCCTCTCTGACCTTGGGTTCCAGCCGTCTTCTGCCGACCCGTCCGCGTTTCGTTGTCGTCGTGGCTCCACACCGTTCTTTGTTCTGGTTTACGTCGACGACCTCGTTTTCGCCACTCCGGACAGGGTTGCTTTGGCAGACGTGAAGTCCGAACTGCAGAACAGATACACGTGCACTGATCTTGGTGAGCTGCGCCACTACCTTGGCCTGCAGATCACCAGGGACAGAGCCGCTCGCACCATTACACTCTCACAGTCACACATGGTGCAGCAGGTCCTTCAGCGGTTCGGGCTTCAGCACTCCACCGTACAGCGCACACCTCTCGCTGTTGACCACAGACTCACTGGTCCCTTTCCTGACGAGCCGTTTGAGCCTAGTGGTCCCTACGCAGAGCTTGTGGGTTGCCTCATGTACCTGATGACTTGTACTCGCCCGGACCTCGCCTTCCCTCTCAGCATCCTTGCGCGCTTTGTTGCGCCAGGGAGACACCGTCCTGTTCACTGGACGGCAGCTGTGAGGGTGGCGAAGTACCTAGCGACTACATCAGGCGTGGGGCTAGTTCTTGGAGGGCAGCAGTCTGTCGTACTCACTGGTCACTGTGACTCCTCTTACGCTGACGACGCTGAGACTCACAGGTCTACTCAGGGGTACTGTTTCAGTCTGGGTTCTGGAGCTGTTTCCTGGCGTTCCACGCGCTCCTCTTCTGTCTCGACCTCTACAGCTGAGGCTGAGATTTACGCTGGTGCCATGGCGGCACAGGAGTTGCGTTGGTTGACCTTCTTGCTCGCCGACCTTGGTGAGCGGCCGAGCTCTGCACCGACCTTGTTTACTGACAACAAGGCGTCGATCCTCCTCTGTCGTGAGCCGCGACTGGAGAGCAGAGTGAAGCACATTCACGTCAGGTACTTTCTTCTGCTTGCGAGAGTTGCAGAGACGTGGACAGGACAGGCTCGCTTCGAGTTTGTGGAGTCCGAGGCCAACACTGCAGACATCTTCACCAAGGCGCTTCCGCCTCGTGACCACCAGAGGTGTTGTGTGCAGTTAGGCCTTGTTGACACAGGTTCTAGTCATGTGTAGGCTTGAGTTTATTGCCTGCTTCGTCTGTACTCTTGCTATATAAACTTGTGATCTCTTGGACTGGCCTTGTGGCCACTGTTGCTTGTGCTCAGAGAGTGTGGTGACGTTGTGATCCACCCTGAGCTTTGTTTTCTTTTGGACTGGTCTTGTGACCGTACTCTTTTTTATTTTGCTAGACACCCCTCACTTAGGCTATGGGGGTGTGTCAAATGTTGTAGCCTGTAGTGAGGTTTGTCTTAGGGGGTATAGAAGTTAGGGTTTGTTATATGTACCCCAACCAACATCAATGGCATCATCATTCCTCATTTTGACACCGAGGCTATGAATGGAAACACTATATATGGGGGCATCTCTTCACTGCTGCAAGCAGAACGCCATTGATAATGCTCCCAACAGATTTACTACGCCAAGCTGCACACAAGAAGCCCAATAAACAAATACCGTACACATAAATTCCAAACATTTGAACTCCAGGTGGCCATGAAAGGAACAACACATTTGGGGCAGAGAGACCGTTTTCTGACACACAGGGAAGTTAGAGCTTACCAACAAAACCATGGCTGGAACCGCGCCAGATGCCACGAGAGCACAGAAACTGAAGAAAAGAAACTGCAAAAGCCACCACAAGAAAGCTGAGCACAACAATGAACCTGCTGGCAGATTTTCTTGAAGGCAAAGCGGGAAGTGTGTGAGTGAAATAATTGCAAGCACATAGTGCAACTCACTATTCGGCCAACGACGGTTGCCTCGTAGAAGCCTCGGACCCCTGAACCATTTCTTTCACCCCTGGCAGCACCCATGTAGTAGATGCCAAACACCTGAGCACATCAAAATAAGTACACTTAATAACAGCACCCTCCATAAGCACAACGAGAGAGACAACACATAAACAGAACAGAAACACATAAAAACAGAACCCACCACGGCAAGCGTCCCTAGAACACGAATCCATCCAGGTGTCAATACATCACGTCCAAAAAATAAACCTGGACCCATAAAGAGAGAAGGAACAAGATCAGAAAGGAGGCTAGAAAAAAAGAAAAAAGCTAACATATAAATGAAGCAAGGAGCACACAAAAGGCACGAGTCAGGTCAGCCCACACGACACTCACAAAAACAAGCATGGGGCATACTGACGAACAAAACAAATGAAAGCAAAGGAAAAACAGTAACACAACAAGAAAAAAACCACCACCACAGGAAACTTCAACACACCAAACGTGAAGGTGGGAAACGCGAGAGCCATGGCGCCAGCCACACAGATGTACGCCCCCGTGACCAACGAGGCCACAGCTGTCCGAGAGAGCTTCTTCCCTGCTGCAGCAGTGGCGGCTGGTGGAGGCTCCACATTCCAGGAGACGTCCATCAGGTGCGTACTGGCCAGGTGTGCCATCACTGGATCCGCCCTCCCTTGCCGTTCACCTGCACCTGCCTGTTGGGTCCGGCAGGCTCTATGCTGAGAAGGGGCAGAGAGAAGAAGGGGCGAGAGAAGCATAGAATGGAAGAAAGGAAGGGCCACTGAGTGCCGGCAAGGTGTGCCATCACCGGATCCGCCCTCCCCTTCCCGTTCACCTGCACCTGCCTGTTGGGGCTGGCAGGCTCTATGCTGTGGGAAGACAGAGGGACGAAAGGGGTGAAAGAAGCATAGAATGGAAGAACGGAGGGGAAAAATGAGTGCTGCCCGGGTGTACCATCCCTGGATCCGCCCTGCTGTTCCCGTTCACCTGCACCCTGCCTGCTGGGGCTGACTTTTGAGTCGACTCAAAAGTCACCTGCTGGGGCTGGCAGGCTCTATGCTGAGGATATGAGGAGGAGCAAGTGGAAGGGAAGAAGGAAACGGTAGGGGAGGAGGGTTGGGAAAAGGTTTTAGGCAGATGTGCCATCACCGGATCCACCCTCCCCTTCCTGTTCACCTGCCGCTGGTGCAGGCTGAGGCCTGCTCGTGATGGCTCTATGCTGAGAAATGCAGCGGGACAAGAGGGGGGAACGCCGCATAGAAGGAATAGGAAAACTCAAAATGAGGAATGAATAGAATGAGTGGAAGTAAGGGAAGGTTGGAAGGAAAGGGTGCAAGCAGGAGAGAGGGAACGAAGGAGGGAGGGATGGAAGGTTGAGACCTGCCTGAGCGTTCTGCTGCTGCTGACGCTGGCTGGGGCCTGCTGGCTCTATGGACACAAGGAGGAAGGAGGGAGTGGAAGGGAGGGGGTGAGGGAAGGAGAGGAAGGGGAGGGAGGGAGAGTGGAAGCGGAGGAGGGACGACTGCCCACCACTGCCCACCACTGCAGTGAAAACCACGCTCAAAACCATTGTTCTTTCACGTGGTCTTCATTGCCCCATGCACCCCACACCCACAGCATGGCCTACCATATATGCCCAGTCGAGTCAATAGAAGCCACTTCAGGGTGGCCTGCGGCCTTCCCTGTGCGCCCTGCACCACCTCCGTGGCAATGGCCACCACGCTGGGCTCCATGCACAGCGCCACCACCACACTGCGCCGGTCCCACCGCTCCCCGCATGCACCTTGCCTGCCAGCCGTCCCAGCACAATGACGTCCCCTGCTGCTCTCACCACTGCCCCTGGGCTCACGTCCCCGTACACCTGGGAAAGGGGTTCGAGGGAGGAACGATGGGAAAGAAGGGAGGATGGATGGGAAAGAAGGGAGGATGGATGGGGAAAGGAGAGGAGGGGGGAGAACGATTGGTACCTGGATGCACCTTGCCTGCCAGCCGGCCGAGAACTATCACGTTCCCAGCAGCTGCCCGCACCACTGCTCCTGGACTCACATCCCCGGGAGAGGAAGAGGGAAACGGGGGAAAGGAGGAAAGGAGGGGTATGGAAAGGGAGGGGCGTGGGGGGAAAGGGAGGGAAGGGAAATTGGGAGGGGGGGGAAAGGATCATCGCCCCCTGCATGCACCTTGCCTGCCAGCCGGCCCAGAACTATGACGCCCCCTGCTGCTCGCACCACTGCCCCTGGAATCACGTCCCCGTACACCTGCGAGAAGGTTGGGGAAGGGGAGGAGGGTGGAGAAAAAGGAGGGGGGCGGGGAAAGGGAGAAGGATGGGGAAAAAGGAGAGGGATGGGGAAAGGGAGAGGGATGGGGAAAGGAATGGGGATGGGAAAGTAGGAAGGGAGGCGAAGGATTATCGCTCCCTGCAGCCCTTTC